GGGAACAGTTTCATGAAAGCCGTGGAAATGTTGGGATCTCCCCACAGTCCCCCACAGTCCCCCACAGTCTTTCAAGTAGCTCATGATGCATATGGAGCTGAATAATTCAGATTTGATTCTGTCTGTTCTTCAGTCCCGGATCTACAGCCTCAGTCCTGGATCTACAGTCTCAGTCCTGGAGCTTCAGTCTCAGTCCTGGATCTACAGCCTCAGTCCTGGATCTACAGCCTCAGTCCTGGATCTACAGCCTCAGTCCTGGATCTACAGCCTCAGTCCCGGATCTAAAGCCTCAGTCCTGGATCTACAGTCTCAGTCCTGGAGCTTCAGTCTCAGTCCTGGATCTACAGCCTCAGTCCTGGATCTACAGCCTCAGTCCTGGATCTACAGCCTCAGTCCTGGATCTACAGCCTCAGTCCAGCCTCAATGTTTTCTTTTTGAATTGTTCCTTGCCAACACAGGAGGGTCTAAGGACATTGATAATCCGGGACATTTATTGACATGTATGGACAGTGGTAATCCCGCCCCCTGTGGACCAACGGCTCCTGTGTGTTTGGTTATTATTGTATTTGCTGTGTTCGAACTGTTGATCTGTTGTTGGCGTCAACTCAATAAAGTCCTCCAAGACAACTGCTGCTACACAATCCATTTTAAAGGCAAGTTATTAAATACTCATATTTTACCCAACAACATAGAAGGTACAGTAGATAAAATAAGAAACTGACTAGTCTTAGAGAGCCACAGAATTCCCCGAGATCTGTGTGATTTCAAACCTAAATGTTTTTTGTGCAGGTGACATAGTTTTAACCCTTGGCGTCTACATCTTTACGGCCCTTCGTGGCGTCTCCAGTGTCTCAGAGTGGAAACTCACCTCAGCACCTGTCTGAGCTGTGACTGATGAGCTCTGTGAACCGGAGCCGACATCAGCAGCAGCATCAGCCGCAGCAGCCGCATCAGCAGATCAATGTTACACAGACACAGACTGAGGCTCCAACAATGAGACCTGCGGGTCCTGTGTGTCTGTCAGATCTGCAGTAAGCCACGTTTTGACCCTTTTTTTTCTTCCACGTTTAGTGTGGGAATAATAACATGGGCTTCTATAGGTTTCATGAACATGCAAATAAGCTACATTTCTTTATACTGGCTGAGTACTGTTTTTCATGGTAATAGTACAGACCCAAAATACAACATTAGGGAAAACCAAAATGTATAGCCTTATAAATAGGTTATAGGTTGAACATTTCAAAATAACAGTGTTTTTCTGTCCTTAAAGCTCGGGAACACCACTTTCTTTTATCATAATAATACATTTTCCCAACACAAAGAGTCTTTTTTATCTCATTAATTAACATGTGACTCACACGGCTCTGTAAGATATAACAAGTTGATGCATTGTGCTGCGAGCTGATTGGCTGAGTGAGGGAGGTCCTCTCTTTATCACTCATCTCTCTGACAATTCGGACCTTAAGCAGTGACAGAGGCCAAAAAAATTATGTATACACCACATCTATGGACTTTGTCTTGCTCCATCCGCTGTTGGTTAAGAGTTACATTACAACATGAAAACTTGTGGCTTTTATTCAATCGTGGACAAAATGTTTTGTCTTTAAAAAAAATCTATCTGGTGTGGGTTTTTCGACCTGGTTTATTTTCAGAAGTTACACAAGAGATACAGAGTTTAAAGTTGTGTGCACAAAGCGACCACTTCCTCTGCACACTTCTGCTTTCTCACACCGGCAACTACAAAGTAAACATCCAGACTGAGATACCTGACTTTGTGTTGGTAATCGTATTTTAGTTTATTCCCAGTAAGAGATCTTTGTAAAAGCAGGGACTAAAAAGACCACAACACACTGCCTTTATGTGAGTCAATATGTGATGCTTCGGGCTGAGAGCTGATTGGCTGTGGGGGTGGGGGTGGGGGTTATCGGCACAAAGCTGCTCTCAGGCAGAGATCAGAATCCTTTTGAAAACTAGTGATCAATCTGTTTAGAGACTCAGGACTTGGTAAAATATTAAAACACAAGCTTCCACGAGTTCTAAATAATACAATGTGAAGTTTAGAGTATCGTAAATATGAGCTAAAGTACTAGTTATACACAATCTACGGCACGGTGGCTGAGTGGATAGCGCTCTCGCCTCTCAGCAAGAAGGTCCTGGGTTCGAATCCCGGTCGGACCAGGGCCTTTCTGAGTGGAGTTTGCATGTTCTCCCCGTGTCTGCGTAGGTTTCCTCCGGGTACTCCGGTTTCCCCTACCACTAAAAATATGTTCAATAGGTTCTGGCATGTGCCTCCTGTTCGGCGACACCGCTCCCATCTCTGTGTGGAGTGAGAGGACAAGTGCCCAAGAATAACAATTGTAAACCGCTTTGTGACCCTTGTCTGTGAAAGGCGGTATATAAATAAAGATTACTTACTACTTACTTACTTACTTACAAACAAAGTCACACAGACACACACACAGACACACACACACACACACACACACACACACACACACACACACACACACACACACACACACACACACACACACACACACACACACACACACACACACACACACACACACAGTCAAACAGACAAAGAGACACACACACACACAGATACAGACAGACAGACAGAGAGACACACACACACACACACACACACACACACACACACACACAGACACACACACACACAAATACAGAGAGACAGACAGAGAGACACACACACACACATATAATGACAGACACACACACACAAAGACAGACAGACAGAGAGACACACACACACACACAAATACAGAGAGACAGACACACAGACACACAAACACACACATATAATGACAGACACACACAAAGACAGAGAGACACACACACACATTCAAACAGACACACACACACACACACAGACAAACAGACACACACACACACACAAATACCGACAGACAGACAGAGAGACAGACACACGCACACACACACATTCAAACAGACACACACACACACACACACACACAAATACCGACAGACAGACAGAGAGACAGACACACGCACACACACACAGACAAACAGACAAAAAGACACACACACACACACACAGTCACACAAACAAACACACACAATGAAATTCAATGCTGGGGCATCAGTGGTTTCCAACAGTAAATACAGAAGAGAAGAGAATAGAAAAATAGGAACCGTAACATTTCATAATTTCTTTGCTGTTCCTGTGTCAAGAAAACACACACACATCCACACAGTCCCACTGTACTCCACATTCTACAACACAAACCAACACTTTACCAACCACCACACGGACTCTGCTAAAACACAAACGTAAAAAACACAAACGTAAACAGCCTCCTAGCTTACTGCATTCTGAAAGTGGTATTGCTAACATCTACAATTCAGACTTAACCGCGAGCTAATCATCAAACCAAATCCTCAAAGTCTCTCAAAGCCTGAACTCCATTCAAATCTAATTATTAACTATGGAAACGTGAAGCGGTGTTGTGTGTGCGGCGTGTGTCAATCAGTGTAAATCGTGACATTTATGCTTCACTGCTTTTTTATCAAGGTTTTCGTGTCCACTTAACTTTTTCATTCAGGAAGGTTGAAACAATAGACATTTGATAATAAGTAAGAAAAAAAACAACCCGCAATAAGTGAAATCCTTTAAGTAGCAGCTGTGTGTTTTTTTAAGACTGTAAAACCTCACACACACTTTTTATACTTTCGAAGCACCTGAACTCACGACTGAAGTGAGAGAGAGATGTGTGGGTCAGATGTATGTCTGAGCTGCTGCAGCTGTCAAAAGCCGTGCATACACCGTAAAATACAGCTGTGGGGGAGACTGAGGGGCAGGAGCAGGACTAAGGGCTACAGGAAGACCAGAGAGAGACAAGAGAGACCACAGAGAGACTATAGAGAGACCAGAGAGAGAGACCAGAGAGAGACAAGAGAGAGACCAGAGAGAGACCAGAGAGAGAGACCAGAGAGAGACTATAGAGAGACCAGAGAGAGACCAGAGAGAGACCAGAGAGAGAGACCAGAGAGAGACCAGAGAGAGACCAGAGAGAGAGACCAGAGAGAGACTATAGAGAGACCAGAGAGAGACCAGAGAGAGACTATAGAGAGACCAGAGAGAGACTATAGAGAGACCAGAGAGAGACCAGAGAGACCAGAGAGAGACCAGAGAGAGAGAGACAAGAGAGAGACCAGAGAGAGACAAGAGAGACCAGAGAGAGAGACCAGAGAGAGACTATAGAGAGACCAGAGAGAGACTATAGAGAGACCAGAGAGAGACCAGAGAGACCAGAGAGAGACCAGAGAGAGAGAGACAAGAGAGAGACCAGAGAGAGACCAGAGAGAGACCAGAGATGGATCAGAGAGAGAGAGACTAGAGGGAGACCAGAGAGAGATCAGAGAGAGAGACCAGAGAGAGAGACCAGAGAGAGACCAGAGAGAGAGACAAGAGAGAGACCAGAGAGAGACCAGAGAGAGACCAGAGAGAGGCCAGAGAGAGACCAGAGAGAGACCAGAGAGAGAACCGAGGGAGAGACCAGAAAGAGACTAGAGAGAGACCAGAGGGAGACCAGAGAGAGAGAGAGACTAGAGATAGACCAGAGAGGGATCAGAGAGCGACCAGAGAGAGAAACCAGAGAGAGAACTGAGGGAGACCAGAGAGAGACTAGAGAGAGACTAGAGAGAGAGAGAGACCAGAGAGGTAGGTCCGAGAGAAACAAGAGAGAGACTAGAGAGAGATTAGAGTGAAACAAGAGAGAGACCAGAGAGAGAGACTGCATTTGACACATTTAGTCTTGTTGAGCAAAGACCAAAGCGAGAATACACTTAAATGGACTTTGCTAATTACAAATCACAGAATCCCAACGTTGATTAAAATTGTATAAACTGCAGACATCGGTACCACAAGACAGAGCCTCTCCACTTCGAGATGGCCCTTTAAGAACCAGAAACTACCCACATTGTGCGTCTTACGAAGAGGTAAAAGTTGTGTGTACCTTGGGGGCATGTTTTGGTTTCCGGAAGAAGGAAGTCTTGGCCGTGAAGAAGGTGAAGTCCTCGCTCTCGTCGTCCAGACTGCAGTATCCGCTGCTCATGCTGTTGCTGTTGCTCATCGAGGGCGTTAGCACCGAGTTCACCGTCATTTAGTCAAAACCAAATGTCACCGTGAAACAACCAGGAAATATCTCTTCAACCGACAACTACTGACATCGATAAGCCGCTGTGCACGTCGTCAATGCCCAGAGATCTGCTGTTGGATCTGTTGTTTATCAGTCTGTTGATGATTCCTTATACCAAAAAAACAGCCAAGTTTATTATAAAATCTTCAGGCAAAAGTCCATCTGAAATAAGCAGAAATCGTTGCTCCAAAATGTGTTAAAAGTTGCACATTTTGGCCTTAGCTTAGTCCATAATTAGCCAATCTCTGCTGCTCAGCTATATTTTCTAGACTTGCTCAAAGTGAGATAGAAAGTTTGACCAAAAATGTACTCCACCAGACTTTTGCAGAGTTTAGGTCTCGTCTTGTCTCTCAAAAAAGCAGCAAAATCCAAATTGAAACAGGAAGCGTGCACCAACAAGTCATTTAAACTTTGCGACTTAGCTCGGCCGGGTTAGAAGTTCACGATCCAAGTATGAACTAAGTGTCCTCACGTCCAAAGCGGTGGAGAAGCGCCTCCTTCACCGGCGCAGATGGAGTAAAGTCGGACTCTCTTCAACGTGCCATCGGAGCTGCAGAAATGTGAGAAGTGTCATGGACTTCCTCTTGACGTGTGGCGCTGGTTAGGCACAGAGGCACTGCATGCGAAGGCTGATGGTTTGAAGGCAAGAACGGGCGAGAAGCCGGTCATGTGATCCATCTACAGCCATGACACGGGGTCGCGTTGCAGAAACCCGAGACGCACCTGCTGCAGCCGCCAGAAGCAGGTGAAACGAAAACTGGGATCACGCAACGGACGGAGAATTTTTAAGGTGGCTATGAAAAAATGAGAAGATGGGAAATCTCCAAAAAGTTTCCAAAAAGTAACTAGTGTAAGAATGGGAAAGAATGTGAATAGATACTTTGGTCCATGGTTGTGTTCAGAGAAATGGTCCAGTCTTGGCTTGAATGACTTCTTTAAAACATATTTTGATGCTGAAAAAGATTAAAGTTAGGACTTGGTTGAGAAAATGCAATGTCCTTGTTTGGACTCTGATCCGTCCTGGTTTAGCCCGGCTTATTCAAACAAACTCGATGCTGAAAATATGGAAATGAAGAAGATGAAATTGTCTTTGCTTGGACTCTGGTCAGTCCTGGTTAGATTCTTCCAGCAGATTTTGATACTGAAAAGATTGAAGTGAAGAATTGGCTGAGATCATGCAATGTCCTTGTTTAGACCCTGGCCAGCCCTAGTTTGCCTCAGCTTTCTCCCCGCGTTAAACTTTGCCTCTCAAAACAGCCACTCCAATATTCAAAGCCCGTATTTGCAAGTCTTGGTTAAAGCACACGTCGCGCCTCGTCCCCTCACTCAGATCTTGCCGTCGTGCAAAAAAAAAAAACCGCTACATTTTCCTATTTCTCGCCAAAAATCCCGGTCCTTTGCTTCCGAACGTAGCACGGCATGCATCCATCTGCCGCTGCCTCCGCTCTGCTCTCTTGTAGCAGGCTCAGTGGAGAGTGATGCCTCCTACACACAACCTCATTCCTCTCTCCTCTATCTCTCCCCTGTCTTTGCTGCAGGCTCTCTCCCCCTCCTCCTCCCCCCTCCTCCTCACCCCTCCTCCTCACCCCTCCTCCTCCCCCCTCCTCTTTGCACACTCTTCCTGCGAGCGAAAGGACTGCGCAATGGGAGCATAGCAGCGACTTCCTCCTCATGAGAGAGATGGTTCAAAGATAGCAGAGTGGCTGTTTGGTGTTTTGCATGGGCTTTGGTTCAGGTTAGAGAGAAATCCAGGGTTTGTTGTTTGAAAAGGGAACAACTCTTCGATACGCTGCAGACAGAGCTGTGAGGATTCAGATTCAGACAGCATTATTTATGGCACCGGGGGCAATTCTTTTGAGCAGCTACAGGCAAAAAAAAAACTGGAAATGTCACACGAACAATAACGACTGCTCTATGCCAGTCGTTTCCAACCTTTTACAATCAGAGAGCTACTTTTATACAACAGAAAAGGCAAAGAGCTGCTCCTTTTTGCATTAATTATACAAATCTTGGTAATAATTATGACAAAACATGGAAAACAATTGTAAAATATACCTTACTACTGTAAAACCCTATATTTATATCTTATAGTAGATATGCAATGACGCAAAAGTGAATCATTCAGGATCATGTGTTGAATTCTAAATCAACTTGAAAGAGGCTGGCGAGCTACTGGTAGCTCCCGAGTTACAGTTTGGGGACCCTTGCTCTATACACTGCAAAATGGGATGAAAATAAGTCAAAAATTGCTCAACTTTGGCAACATGTATCTTTATTTGAGCACATTCTGACCGCCTTAAAACAAGATTTTCCGGCG